ACCATGCATCATCGGGTCAAGTATATACCAAAATAGTTATGGACTTAGACACTAATCCAACAATAAATTGTTTAAATAAGATGAAAACCCTCAAATTTAGGGTTTCACTCAGACAAATCCTACTCACCGAGTCGGTCTCCTAACTCGTCGAGTAGGTCACTTAAACCCCTGATAAAAGATGAGTCTAATCGACGAGTTGGGCCTCCAACTCGTCGAGTCTCAGAGTAAAGCATGAAGTTTTCTCGAATTAAATACGTACCAGGAATCAGGTGTTACAAATCTCCCCCACTTATTTTAGAATTAGTCCTCGAAGTCTGCTACTGAGTCCTGGAAGACCTCGGGGTAGTGCTCCCTCATCTCGTGCTCCGGCTCCCAGGTCTATTCCGAGCCCTTGTGGTGCTGCTGCTGCACCTTTACCAGCTCCACCCTCTTGTTCCTCAGACCCTTTGATTTTCGGTCGAGGATCGCCACAGGCTGCTCGATGTAGTTCAGGTTGTCATCTACCTGAATATCCTCTAAGGGCACCACTGCCGAGTCGTCCACCAGACACTTCCACAATTGGGAGACATGGAACGTACTATGAATCTGACTGAGTTTGGCCGACAGGTTCAGTCGATATGTCACCTTACTCACCCGGGCCACAACCCTGAAAGGTCCAATATATCTGGGGCCCAGCTTACCCCGCTTCCTGAATCAATGACGCCCTTCCAAGGCGACAATTTCAGGAGTACCATATCCCCGACCTGGAACTCCAGGTCCGATCGACACTTGTCGGCATAACTTTTCTGTTGACTCTGAGTAGTCTGAAGCCTACTCCGAACCTGTTGGATCCTCTCCGTAGTCTTAAGTACCACTTCGGTACTCCCCATGACCCTCTGACCAACCTCACCCCAGCATATCGGGGTCCTGCACTTCCTACCATACAACATCTCGAAAGGAGGACAATCAATACTCGCATGATAGTTGTTGTTATAGGAGAACTAGGCCAAGGGAAGGTAAGTATCCTAACTACCTACGAAGTCTAAAACACACGCCTACAACATGTCTTCCAGATTCTAGATGGTCCTCTCACTCTTACCATTCGTCTGCGGGTGAAAAGCAGTGCTGAAGTGCAGACGAGTACCCAACTCGTCGTGAAACTTCTTCTAGAATCTGGAAGTAAACCGTACGTCTCGGTCCGGAATCACTGAGGTTGGCACTATGTGCCGAGCTACTACTTCTCGAATGTAGATATCGTCCAACTTCTCGGCCGAGATGCTCTCCTGGATTAGTATGAAATGGGCACTCTTGGTCAACCGATCCACGATGACCTAAATCAAATCCACTCCCCGTACATTCCTAGGAAGCTTTGAGATGAAGTCCATATTAATATCTTCCCATTTCCACATGGGAATGTCCAACGGTTGCGTCTTGTCGTGAGGCCTCTGGTGCTCGACCTTGACCTTTCTGTAGGTCAAGCACCCCTTGACGTACCAGGTGATGTCCCACTTCATGCAGAGCCACCAGTAGTCGGGTGGAAGATCTCTATACATCTTCGTCGCCCAGGGATGGATAGAAAACTTGGATTTGTGTGCCTCCTCCATCAATACCTGGTGCACACCTCCATGATATGGATCCCACACCCTACGGTGAAGAGTCAACAACCCACGACTTTCATAGTAGAAGGAGGAAACCAGACCCACAATATGCTCGCTCTTACGATGTTCCTCCTTCATGGCCTCCTGATGGGCCTCTCGAATCAGCTCCAACAGCGGAGTCACAACCGTCATCCTCATACAGATTTTATTCTGTCAGAATATTTTTTTTTGTTAGAATGATGTTCTTTCAGAATTTTATTCTATTAGAATATTATTGAAAAATAACAACATTTTTTAATCCGATGTTGAAAAATAACAACATTCTAATATATATTTATACATTCGAACTTAAAAACAAATTCATACATATTGTTACAAATTAAAAGCCTTATACATTTTATTATAATTATACATATTCTAAAAAAATATCAACAAAAATGAATAAATTTTTAAAAAATAACAACATTCTAAAATTATGAGTATAATCAAACTTTATTCATTCTTCAAGTTATTCCTATTAGGTCTCCAACGCATTGTTCTAGTCAATCCTATCACAAAATACAACAAAAACTAATAATGATTAAAACATGTTACTTGCAATTACCTATCACTTTATATATTCTGGTAGAATACATAAAATATGACAAATTACATTAAAAAAGAATAATAGTCAATCTAAGAGAAATATCTATTACAAAAAAAAGGCAATCCAAGAGAAACATCTATTACAAAAAATAAATAAATAAATAAATAAATAAATAACAGGTAAACAAAGATTCTAAAAGAATCATCAAATATAAAGTGTAGTTACCATTTAATTCTGATAGAATATATATATGCAATTACCATTTATAACATCATACAATTACCCATTACTATTCTGTAACCAATATATATATGCAATTACCATTTATAACATCATGCGAAATCATCCTTGTGATTTGGTCAAAATTGTTCGTTTGGTCCCTAACTTTTTTTTGCACTCGGATCGTCCCTGTGGTTTGATTTTCTTGCATTTTTTGTCCCTGTGGTTTGGTCAAAATTGCACGTTTGGTCCCTAACTTTATGTATATAAGGGAAGAACAACGCAACAAAATCAAACCACAGAGACGATCCAAGTGCAAAAAAAAAAAAAAAATTTGGACCAAATGTGTAATTTTTGACCAAACCATAGGGACGATTTCAGTATTTTACTCTATAAATTTTTTAACAAACATTCTTAGAGAATCATTAAACCTAAAGTGTAATTATCATTTTAAATTCTAACCGAGTGTATTTTAACATAATACACTATACAAAGCATAACGTATTCTTACAGAATCTACTATATTGTGTATTTGATTTTCCTAATAAAATCAGTATTCTGTTAGAATACATTGTATAATAGTTTCTTTTTAGTAGTATGTGTAATGAAACCATGAAAACTTATCATGTATAATCAAGTTGCAACATAAATTAATAAAATAAATAAAATTACCTAGGTGAGTATATTTGTGTGTGAAGGTCCATGAGCAATTCGAGCATTTCTCACAAGTTGGAATGAAATATCAACGTTTTAATCATCATCTTCTTTATGTTAGTTATATAAACATTATCACCGACCTGGAAGGTGTTAGAAAGACATCAAAAATATTCTAAGCATGAAAAGATCTTTAATCATAAGGTATTCATGACGTCATTTAAAAACCTTTTGAATTTGCTATTTTATATTGCATTTCTGTATTACCACTAAAGATGTATCACGTAATAAAAAATGAATAATGATTGTATCTCCTAAGAAAAAATATTAACCAACCATTTATATCAAGATTTCTATGTCATTACATCTTTTTTAAACCAAAAATATTTTGACAAAAAATGAAATCCACCCACATCTTTTCTACTAGACATTTCATCAAACACCTTTAGGGCATACACAGATCATCACGCTTTGTAGAATGTTACTAATGAAATGAACAACTAAATGCACCAACATCAAATATATTTAAAAATAAAGATGCCTTGAACATCATTACATAATTACATATCAAAATTTCGCTAAAAAAGATATAAGAATATGATTACCTCTGATTAGAAGTAGAATACTGACAGAAAATGGTGATGAAGATGATGCTGGTATAGGAAGATGAATAATAGAGATGTAACGAGCACAAAAAAATATGAACGAAATTCATTAATTACCTGTTATGCGTGTATGATTGTATTCATCCCCGATTAGTTTTTCTTATACATTGAATTGCTAATAAAAAAGATCCCCAACAATAATTAAGTTTGAATCTAATGATAAGGCGGTTGACAATGGTGATAGGAGGCTAAAGATCGAGATCGGTGATGATGATGGTGAAAATCGATTATTTATAAACCCTAATTGCAGCCGCCAACTGAATATCGATGATTAATAAACCCTAGTGTTCTTTAGCTGAAAATCCTCCATGTTCAGCCTCCCTAGATCGATAACAACGATAACCGGCATAGAGAAAAAAAATGTAGGCGACGTGAGTCCTTTTGTTAATTTACCTATAGGTGAAAAAGAATAATATAAGAGAGGATATAAGAGAGAGACTGGGTCAAATATATTTATTTTATTTCCTTAATTGCAGGAAATCAATTAAATGATCCCTTAATTCAAAATACAAAATATCCAAAATACCCTTAAATGATTTATTTAATTATTTATTATTTCTTAAATTTTATTTGGTGCATTTAGAAACACAATAGTTACTAGAAACATTTGAACCTTTCTCTCTGTCTCTCTGTCTCTCTCTCTCTCTCTCTCTCTCTCTCTCTATATATATATATATATATATATATATATATATATATATATATATGTATGTATATGTATATAGGTTCAGGACGTTTTTACGACTACAGTCTTCTAAAAAACAATCTTCAAAACTTTGTCGACATAGATGTTTTCCCGCCTACAAACATAAGTGTTCAAAAAGATATTTTTTCAAAAAACAAACAACACCTAAGTATTACGGTTCCACCTAAATTTCAAATTTAAAGGAATTAAAATAAATAAAACAGCATAGCTTAATAATCTTACGTACCTAAATATACAATGGTTGCTTAAACTTTCTCCAACCTTTTTATTTAATATGCACATCTCAATACCTTGTATAAATTAATTCAAATTTAATCATTAAATTAAAATAAATAGTTATTCAAAAGTTACAATAAAAAAAAAAAAAAAAAAAAAAAAAATCAAACCTCTAATTTGTGAGTGTTACACTTTCTCTACCAAAAGTGAGACAATGGTCTCCTACTTATAGGATGATTTTAAGGCTTCTTATGGGCTTAACCCACATGGTCGGTCTATGTTACGCTAAGCTTAATAAGGGTGTGGTCTTAGATAGTCCAAACATTGGCCATTATGGTTGTTTTTAAGTCTAAAACAATTACAATCTTTAAGAAAATGTTCCTTACAAGTTACAACCATTATAATATTATATAGTATTGTTAGAATCAATCCAATCTTTTCATTGACTGATTGCCCTAGTTATGCTACAAAATAAGCTCACATGACATTGGCGATAATGCTAGCCACTTATGTTGTATGCACATATTTTAACACACTCATCTTCTATTTTTCTTTATGTATGTTATAGTTGATCGTGAAAGCACCAAATCATGTAGAGAGAAGCCTCAATGAAGTGAACTAATAAGCCTTCACTAATCTACATGTATTTTCCCTCGAGCTTATTCTCAATATTGTTCATCATCATGCTGTGTGCATGCACACTAATCATGTTGCCATACTTAGAAGCCATTAATATGAGCTTAAAGTACTAAATATACCACTAATACAAAATACTTTACAGTTAGAAATCTCTCGTATAATCCAAGATATCCCTCACAACAATGGTCTTCCCCCTTTCTTGCAACTCCCTCCATGGTCAACAACCGGTCAACAACTTCCAATTCAACATTGAACTTAATCTGTAAGCACTTGAAAGGCATATACAATGATTATTGATATCATGATATGTTAGTTTTCAATGCATCAATCGGACATGATGCAACAAACATGATTCTATCAAGCCTTGCATATTTGACCGCATCTCATCCATATTAGAATTGACCATTCTACCCCTCAATCAACCTTGTGCCTGAATCTAAACAATAACACACAACATATCAATGATTTCACAACAAAGTAACTAATAACTACAAATTTTCACATGTAATTTGGAAGTACCTAAATTATATTCAATGATTTTTTTCTCCAAATCTTGAGCAGCTTCTATCATTCCCATGGTTTTATAAGCATGTATCATGGTAGCAAAAGTGATACTATCAGGTTCACAATCTTTATCTTTCATAGCCAAAAACATTTCATTCATTTTTTTCACATCACCCACATGTCCATAAACACTAATAAGACTATTAAAAAAAGTCGTATCAAGAATCACATCAGAATTTTCAATTTGCCTCATAATCGAATCAATCTTATGCAAAAGTTTGGTTTTCCCATAAGCACTCACAAGAGAACAATAAGTAACTGCATTAGGCTTCATTCCTACATGCTTCATTTTTATAAAAAACTCTTCCATTTTCTCAATATCTCCAATCCTTTTGAATGTATCGATAATTATATTGAATGTAATTGTAGTTGGAGGAATGAATCTTTTTGTCATATAGTCGATTACATACCCCATTTTGTCATACATCTTTGCTTTCCCATACGATTTAATCAAGATATTAAATGTCATCACATTCGGTTTTATCCCCATTAGTTGGAATTCATCAAACCATTTTTCCATTTCTGAAATCATCCCTGAATTCCCATACGCATCAAGAACTGAATTACATGTGAAAGAATCTGGAAGACAAGTTTCATCTTCCTCAAGCATCTCTGTTAACATATTCTCCATTTCTTTAAACAATCCAGCTTTTCCATATCCATCAATTATGGTGTTATATGTGACAATGCTGGATTTGATTCCTAAATATGACATATCAGCAAGAATATGTTCAATCATATCAAATCTGCGATGTTTAGTGCAAGAGTTGATTAAGATTGAGTAGGTGTAAACATCGGGTTTGCAATCGAGGATTAATTTCATATCATCGATGATTTCTAGGGCTTTTTCAAGGAGTCCGGAGTAGCCATAAGCACTAACAAGTGCAGTGTAAACGTCAATGGTGGGTTTGAGTCCATCCTGCAACATGACCTCGATAAGATAGCTCGCTTTCATGGGTTGCTTGCATTTCGCGAGCATTACAAGTAGCTTTGTGTACGTTTGGCATCTTGGTTCATACCAGTGTTGATTACGAAGAAGATCGAATATCTGGACACAAACAGTGTAGATTCAATGATAAAAAGGTTACAGATTGATTAGGTTTAAGTTAACGACTTGCAATTGAAGTGGCACATAGAAAATCCAACGAACCTTAAGAGCAGATTCCCAGCGTCTATGGCGGATAGCGTTGTCCAAAGCTTCCAAAAGAAGTTTCGGAGAAAAGCGGTTATGCTTGACAGAGGTGGAATTGGCTTTTCTCTCAATTGCTTCGATGGCAGCCTCTGACCTCAGAATATAAGACAAGTGTTTGTCGGTGGACTTTTGGATACCTTTTGAAGAAGGAACGGGAGACTTCTTCTTGGCTGCTGTGATAAGCGACGACGATGGGTTTGAGAAAGGGTGTTGGCGTTCGTTCAGGAATTTCGTCAAACAGTTGGTGGGCGAATATTGCAGTGAAGAAGATAGGTTTTTCACAAGACCATAGTCGTGAATAGAGAGCTCCATCTCACAAGAACAGAGGTTGATTTCAGGTTTGCGAGGTGAGCACGGATTGAGGTACCATTTTATGGCAATTTTATCTTGAATGAAAGTCGACTGTTTGATAGAAAACGAAGTACGACTTGAGTGATTTAAAAAACTATTGTTATCGAGTCTTTTGTTACGTAATAAAATTATAAAATTATATTTAAGCGTCTGGACTTCGAAATTTATTTTAACAACAAACAAAATTGTGTAATTTTCTAGAAATTTTTACCTAAACTCGATACAAAAAAATATATATATATTTTTAGGCATGGTTTATCCATTTTAACATTTTTAAAATACGAAAAAGCTCTTGTAGCTTGATAATAGTGAGGGGGTGTTTGGGATTGTGGTTTAAAAGTGTTTATTTGTTTATTAGTTTTTTGAAAAGCTAATAAGCCAAAAAAAAAAAAAGTGTTTGGCAAACTCAAAAACACTTTTCAGAATGGTTTTTCCATAAGCTTCAACAAACATTTTTTAATAAGCATGAAAAACGTGGCTTTTTGAAACTGCTTATGGCTTTTCAGCCAAAATAACTTCAAAAAGCACTTTTTAAGCCAAACACTTTTTAACTTATTGACTTATTGACTTTTTCACGGTAAAAGCTTATCCAAACACTTTTTAAAAAACTTTTTTTACCACCACTATAAGCAAATAAGCACTTTTATCTAAAAGCACTTTTCTAGTTAAAAAAGCATTCCCAAACACCCTCTGAGTTATCTTTAGCCACGAGACAATGTTTTGTAACATCCTACAAATGTAAATGTTCGATGCAATGGCGGACCTTAATGGGGCATTTGGGGTCTCAGGCCACTGCTCAATTTCCAGCATGCACTGTAATTTTTTTTATTAGGTGCACCCGCTTAAAGTACGAGGGACACCCCTATTAAAACAGTCTGCATCCGCTACTGGTTCGATGAACCCTTACTTACTTTCATATTCGACATTTTTTTTCTTATATTGTACTACTTTTGATTTTGATATTGCATATTCTTATACCAAGTGTCTTCCACTTAATTATATTCTCCATTTTCATTCTCCCCTTTTCACATGAAATTTAATGTGTCTAAACTTCTGTCAAATGTTATCAAAATGCCAAATATATTGTAGAAATATAGGTTAACTAAGAAATGACTAGATTTAAAAAAACAAAACTTAAAAAAAAAAAAAAAAAAAAATGGATGGACAATTCATGTTGTTGAAAATGTGTATATACAATAAGCAAAATATAATTTACGATAGGATTATATTTATATATAAAATATAAAAGTGCATTGTTTGAGGTGTATTTATGGTTTGAAACGATTCGTAAACAAATCATTAAACATTACGTGTTTTTACAATTATTAGATGTGCATCCACGCAAAACGGCGGCGTTTTTTTTTTTTTTTTTCCAGAAAATGTTATTTGACTGTTTCAATGACTATAAATTTTATGGTTGATATGTTAGAAAATTGCATGCCCAAGCTGATATAAATCGTTTCTCCACGTTGAGTCCTAAGAAGATGATTAAAAACTAATTATAAAATAAGAATCCAAAAAATCAAAGTTTTTTCAGATAATGTTTTGAAACTTTCATATGTGAGAAATTATCTTATATTATTTTCAATAATAAGAATGATGAGAGAAATCATATCTTTGAAACGACGAGAGATAGATGAAATGGGCAAAACAAAAGAAATTACATTCTTGTACAATTACCATAAGTGGAATACACACTAAGCATAATTAATATTGTTTTGTTGTGTACTATTTAACAAATGAGCGCTAAGTAAATTTGTTATCTAGAGGAAGAAGTCACTCGAGATGGTTCGGAAACTGATTTTCAATCGGAAAAAATAAGCTTTCAAAAAAATACATATACTTAAATGTAACAACGAAGAATAATTATATTTTATGAAGAAAAATATATCAAAGCAAGAAAAGTTTTATTGACAAAGATCCTTGTTTTTGAGGAGCTTGAACCAACCAACCTATCAAAAAGTTTGATGGATGAACAACCCGGTAATACTTTGGAGAAGATAATAGAGACCCACCATATACAAATTTAACATATACACAAATATATAGAAAATAAAAAATATAAATGCACAATTTTTTTTTATGTCATAACTTTACCATATACATAGATATATAGAAAATCAAGAATAAAAAGAATGTATAGTCATTGATAGAAACAATTAATAGAAAATCAGATATATAGATGTCTACCACTATGTGATAATCACACCAATAAAACCAAAAACATCCTTAGAAATCCATTAGAATTCTTGCCTGTAAACTATTGATATGAAACATGAATAAAGAAAAAAAAATAAACTAAGATTAAAACCGAAGTTGAAATATGTTAAAAAAACATGAAGTCGTGAACTCTAGTGAATAAAGTGAAACCAATGTGAAACGATAACATATCTCATTTTTTTATTTTTTTATTTTACTTTTTAGTATATAGGGCTGTAAATGAACCGGACGTTCCATGAACTGTTTGGCAGGAAGTTCGTTTATTTAATAAATGAACGAACATGAACACAAATTCTCGTTCATTTAGTTAAACGAACGAACATGAACAATTGTCTCGTTCGTTCAATTATGTTCGTGAACGTTCGTTTATATTGTTCGTTTACGTTTGTTTATGTTTGTTCATATAAGTTCATTTTATCTTCATATATGTTTAATTATTATATCTTCATTTATGTTTATATAAGTTCCTTTTAACATAAATGAACGAACATGAACAACGTAATTCGTTAAACGAACGAACATGAACAAGAAAATTCGTTCGTTTAACCGTTCATGTTCGTTCATTTGTTCGGTTAACTTAAACGAACGGACATGAACAAGTCCTATTCGTGTTCGTTTGGTTCGTTTACAACCTTATTAGTATAAGTTTCTATGTACAGAATTTAATTGATATTGGATTAAATTACTGAAATCATCCTTATGGTTTGGTTAAAATTACACGTTTGGTTCCTAACTTCTTTTTGCACTCGAATCGTCCCTGTGGTTTGATTTTGTTGCATTTTTCGCCCCTTACATACATAAAGTTAGGGATCAAACGTGCAATTTTGACCAAACCATAAGGACGAAAAACACAACAAAATCAAACCACAAGGAGTATCCGAGTGCAAAAAAAAAAGTTAGGGACCAAACATGCAATTTTGACCAAACCATAGGGACGATTTCAGTAATTTACTCTTGATATTTCCTTCCATAAATTTTCTCGATGATTATTCTTTACTTTTTGTTTATAGAAAGATAATTGTTTGTGCATAACAAATTTGTACATTAAGTTTTCAAGCATGTACCTCTTAAATTTCAAGAAAACTTTAAACGGGGAGTTAGCAAAGAAGCAAGTGTAGCATGATAGTATACAATCAAATAGAACTACTCTACATATAATAAACTTCTAGTTTTTTATATTTATGTTGATATTTGTATATCATATAAGTTTAAGATATCGATAAGTAACATCACTAATACTAAGAAAACAATAGTAACTTTACCTCGTTTCATGGTGAAGGTGACATTGCTACAAGCATTGTAGTCTTCAATTCATTTATATCTTTGACCAATTTGTCATTCTCAAGATTACTACTCTCTATCTCAACAACCAAAGCTGCATTTCACAACAACTTGTAACATGAGTACCTTTACACAAATCATAGGCCTTGTAATAAATACAAATCTACAACAACCATCAAAGTTATTATCGAAGTCAACACAATTTTATTTATGAAAAAGAAAAAATTGTAAGAAAGATAATACTACCTGAATTATGTGCATTGATACCTTCAAGAATCTCATCAATAAAATCTGACATTGAAGTTTGCAAGGAATTAATTTTCCCCCTCAGAAGATGAATCTCATTTTCAAGATACTCTTTCTCAGACAATAATTTCCCTAGTTTACAGTTTCCATCCTCACTAATCTCCTTTTGAAAGTCTAGACACATTGTTCTAAATGTTTCCCTGTATAAAGCAAACAAGACATTATTCAAATAGATTCTAACACATTGTTAGTGCCTAGAATTTTCAGATAAAAGTTCCTCAGTATAAAAGAATTCATAAAGAAATTTCACAATAAGAATTTGGGATGAATTCAGTAAATACCTTTTGTTGTTCATTCTTCCAAGTGTCTCATCTCGCTTCTTTCTTAAACAAGACAACTCCTTCTCTAGGCATTCCCTTGTTGCTCTTGATTCATCTAAAACATGAAGCATGGAAAACCTCAGAGAGTATTTCTTTACACAGAAATATAACAAATAATCTTTTGTTTTGTTCCTTAATTACATTTTGTTTGTTTCTTGTGTTTATCGAATCAAAATTAGATCATAGACTTAGCTCAAATGTAATTCAAAATACATCACAACACATACATATACAAACATAAAAGAAAACCTCTTCTTACCATTTACAGCGATCAATCCTTTAATTTCAAACTGAAGCATGTACGCGGTCTTCATCAGCTCCGACTCTCTAGATGCCAAAGCTCTCTCGAATTCAGAACACTTGACAATTTCTGATTCAATCTCTCTCGTGATTTGGAAGTTCGCCTCTATTTCATCGTTCACCTAGGTATAAATTAAATAAGCAATTACGTCAATAAAACCATCTATAATCAATTACAGATGAAGAGAAAAACACATCCAACAAACGACTCATATTGAACCTGATCAAGCATATCCTTTAGTGCAGATAGTTGACAGAGAATCGCGCCTGAGTCGTCCATCTTCTTCGTCTTGGATGTCGTTATTCGAACTCCCCGAACTTTGTAAACAGCTATCGAGCTATTCGCGCCTTTTAGAATACCAAAGTTGGGCTTTGGAAAGGCCCAGTAACGAGCGTAGATCTGGGCCGGAATTAGGTTTGTGTATAAAAAGGGTTTGAAAACCAATCCACTTTTGAAGTGGCACGGTGAATTTTGTCATTTTTTTTACAATTTTTTGATATATATACAATTTAATAATTTTTTAAACAATTAAATAAAAACAAAAAAGAGAAAAATAGCCATTGGAAGGATATAAGCACACGGACTTTATCGCAAACCACACACCCAGTGACTATGGTGTTCACTGTGTACCACATTGTCATGTCATCTTCATCGCACCATGTGGTGGAGCTATACCTATCGGTCTTAGAATCGATGTAGGGCTAGGTTT